CATTTTATTTCCCCAGTCATCAGTTGAGGATATGTTGGCTCTTTATACTGTTAGCTACTATAAATTCAAAACAGTTGAAATGCTGTTCAACATATTGGCTCAGGAACTGACATCCTTAAATTAAAAAAAATTGAACATTCATGTACAATTTTTTTGTGGGCATATGTTTTCATTTCTCCTGGGTATCTACCAAGGTATGGAAACTTTCTTCTTTTATAACATTTTCCTTTGGGTCTTTTAAAAGGAAGAACAATTTGTGGCCTACCCTAACAGAACCACTTTTTTTTCTCCTTTCATGTAACTTTTTTGTTTTTGGCTCTTCTTAGTTATACATGGCAATAGAATCATTCTGATAAAATTCAAGCATGGAATGTATCTTATTCTAAGTAGGACCCTATTCTTGTGGGCTGGCACAATGAGGGGGATTCACTTAAGTAGTTTCCTATGTGTGCATAGGAAAATTACGTTAGATTTATTATACTGTCTTTCCTATTCCTTTCTCCCCTCCCTTCCTTTCATTCTCCTTTGTCTAATCTACTACTCTTCTTCCCCTTCTCCCTTTATTGCAGTTTAGCTATCACATATCGGTGAAAACATCTGACTTCTGGTTTTCTGGGATTAACTTATTTCACTTAATGTGATTGTCTCCAGATTCATCCATGTAATGGTGAATGTCATCAAGTTATCTCTCTTAATAGCTGAGTAATATTCCACAAAAACACACACTGGATAAAAAATAGCCTCTTCAACAAATGGTGCTGGGAAAACTGGAAGTCTGTATGTAATAGAATGAAAGTTAATCCCTATCTCTCATCCTGCACAAAAATCAACTCTAAGTGGATCAAAGACCTCGATATTAGATCAGAAATGCTGCACATAGTTAGAAGAAAATGTAGGCCCAATACTTCAACATATTGGCTTGAGAACTGACGTCCTTAACAATCCTCCTAAAGCACAAGAAGTAAAATCAAAAATCGATAAATGGGATGGCATCAAACTAAAAAGTTTCTTCACAGCAAAGGAAACAACCAAGAGCATAAAGAGAGAGCCTACAGAATGGAGAAAAAAATCTTTTCTACTTACACCTCAGATAGAGTGTTAATTTCCATGATGTACAAAGAACTCAGAACCACTTTTTAGTTGGATAATTTAAGGGAACCCACTTTATCCTTTAATTGGCCAGGACAGAATCTCCAGACACTAAAGAAAGTGGCAAACCACTTCATGGGAAGGGAAACTGGATCTATGACTACTGGTTCCCCCAAATTTGCTTTTCCTTGGGAAGCCATCATTACTTTCCTCTGCTGACCCGATGCTGACTACAGACTGGGTACAGCTTTTTCACTTTAATGCTCTGACCCTGGATGGGCTCAATTTCTGTGATATGAATAAAAGCAGTCTGCAATTGTTAAACCAAAACTCTCTAAATTCTCAAAATAAGAAGGGAAATAGATAAAGATACATATACACAAATACTATGATTAAAAGGTACAGCATAGTCCCCTTAAACAGGGATCGATACATGGCTACTGTCCAGCTCAGTTCCAGAATTGCCTTCATGAGGCAGAGGCTATTTTTCCCAACTACCCAAGTATGTCCCCTTAGACAAATGAGTTCCTCTACATATGGACGAGAGGATGGGGCTAAGAGAGGCAGGTCCACTCTGTCTACATGACCCAGCTGGAAGACTAGCAAGAAAAACATCCACTCATTTAAAGGGAAATCCCACCTATTCATAGAGGGGCCTTGCCTATGGCCTCAACAGAGGAACAATGCCAAAATACTTCATGATAAGTCTAACATCCCCTGAGAGATGGACATGTAAAAGAGAAGGGAAATGTTTCTGAGTCATTATCTACTTAGGAAGTCAGGTAGTCAACCAGATGGCCAGTTCATTCTTTATAATTGATGGAGCTGTCCCCAATGAAGTTTAGCCTGTATCAAAAGAGGCCTATATCTTTGCTTGAATAAGAGGTCAGGAAATAATCATAGGTGGAGGCAGAAACAGCTGAGTAGAGAAGGTACTTGTTATGAAAAACAATACTACATCTTTGATAGGAAAGATCTTGCCTTTTTTTTTTTTTTTTTTTGAGACTGGCTCTTTCTATACCAAATCAGTCTGGTCTCAAAACTTTTGATTCTCCTGTATCAGTCTCCCAAGCAATAGAGATTATAGGCATGTGCTATCATACTTGGCTAATGTCTCACTTCTTCAACTGCCCACAAGCCCATACTCTCCTCCCCATCTGTTTGGTTGCATTTACTCCCTTGTATCAAGTAAGGGATACCTGATATCCCTCTTTACCAAGTAAGGCAGATTTCACCCCTATGGTCATATAAGCAGTAGTAACTTATATTTAAGTGGCTCACTGCATGCAAATGACACTCCTCCCAAATATTTATAGGAGTCCTCATAGTGTGCTTCAGATGCTTATGAGCTATTTGTTCCCCAGATGCTGCCTATACTTTGCAGTATACCATACTGACTGTACTGTTCTGACAGGCATGATCATGAGGCACCAGATCTCTCTGAGTTCCCACAAGCCTGGTGGTCTACAGTAAAATAGAGGAATGCCCAGTTATCTGTGAAGTTTTCTCTTCCTAGGACCCTTCCTCAGTTCAAACTAGGATCAAAGATGCTGTTTGAATTCCTTTGTGAGATTGCCCATCAGATGTGGACATAGGAGGGGACACAGGAAAGCACAGAAAAATGAGTTTTATTAAATGTACTCATAGGTAAGACAGTCAATGCATGCCATGAGAGGGCTATATAAAGGGATCCAAGGAAGTAAGTACAACCAAACAGGTGGGGAGGAGAGTAAGAACCTGTGGGCAAGTGCTAATATTGGGGGTCAAGGTGGAATACACAAACAAAAGGTATGCAGGGATTCCACTGAAATGTCTGGATATTACTACTGTTAGAGAAAAAGTGATTAAATAATAACTGTTAGAACACAGAGAGGCCTACTTTATTCAGGACTATCTCCATAGGCAAGGGATCATGGCAATGAAGTGTTGCATTGGAGAGATTGGACTGACTCAATTCTGAACATTGCAAGAGCAAGTGGATATGTATAGTCAAGTAATAAGGTGGGGGAAAATTACTAAGAGGAACCATCAGGTGGTAAAGAGGAAAAACTGACTGCCATGGTTTGGGTATGAGGTATGAAGCAAAGACCCTGTTAACAAAGGGCTGTTCAGAGGTGAAACAATCCAATTGTGAAAGTTGTAATCTAATCTGCACATTCTAGTTTGAATGAACTGATTGGGTGTTAACTGTAGACAGGTGGGGCATGCCTAGGGGAGGTGGGACACGGGGGATATGCCCTGGATGAATTCCATCTTTTCTGTGGCTTCTTTTCCCACCTCTCTCCTCTGTTTCCTTCCTGCCATGAGGTGAGCAACTTGTCTTGCCATGGCCCTTCTGCTTTGATGTTCTGCATCATGTTGGGCCAGTGGAGTTGGCCATCCATGGACCTCTGAAATGGGCTGCCAAATAAAGTTGTCTTTTTTTTTTTACTTCTCATTTGTTCTTGTTGGGTCAGCAACACAAAACACATCTAAGGGGATGCTGAAGGCAAGCCCTGGTTATTAGCTATCACTTGGGGCATAGTGGATTGCTGATCAGCAATCAAGGGTGATCACATAGTGAGGGTAGAAAGTGGATTTCATAAGGAAGTGCACAAACTAATCTAGGAAAATATTCAGGAACCTGGCCAATGTTTGACCAAGCAAAGCATCTTTGCCACTAGGTCACAGACAAAGAAGGACAAGAAGAATCTGTGACAAGAGCAGCTTTGTCATGGGTGTACCTGGTTCACTGGTCAGGGGGTTTACAGTTTGTTTGTGGGGATTTTTTTTTTTTTTTTGTGTGTGTGTGTGTGTGTGGAGGCGGGATATTGAAGCAGGAGAAAAATACAAAATTTTAAACTATGCTGTACTGATTTCACATTGTTTGAACTCAGCCCCACATTGTTGCACGGTACCTGTGCAAACAAATGGGGCTTTGCTCCTGGACCAGAGGGTTGTACCTGGATCTCACAGAGGGAAGACAAACTGCAAATAGACTGGAGTTGTAGCAACCTGTAAGTCCCCAGATCTTTTCAGACTTGGCTGAAACTCAGCCACAGAGATTCCTCCTGTACCTCAGATTTCCTATCTGAATAAGCCTTAATATCTCTTATATTCTGAAAAACTAAGATAAACCTGTCCTGAGAGCACACTGCTCTTTTGGTATTCTCCAGGCAGGGTTAAAAAGGACAGCAGAGGAGTTAACTTGTCCCAGAGACCTGCCCAGGTGGGTAACTGGTGTGGGGACAGCTGTTATCAGAGCTTCTGGTCTCTAAGTCTCCCATATGAGGATGTGTTTCACATTCACAGCCTTATGGGATTGGGCAAGAGTGGGAAGCCAGGTCTTTACTCACATCAGCTCACTCTAAAGCCACAGAGGGAGCAGTGATTGATAAGGTATTCTCTATCATGTCACCATGTACATAATTTCAGAAAAATGTACCCATTATGCTGTGCTGTGATTTTTGCATTTCTCATCCACTAGCTAGGCATTCTCAGAAACTTTTAAATCTCTTATGTCCTCATGGCCTAGCACCAATTAGAAGAAAACTAAACTAAGACTTTTCTCTTAAGGAGGACAAATCATATTGATTTGGTTCTAAACAAATAGCATGAAGAATAAAAGAGAATCAATAAAAGACTGAAGTTAATATATTATAATTATATAAATGCAAAGTTCTATTTGCTTGTGTCCTTTTTTTTATGATACTTCTTGTGCTCCAGGGCATTTATAGTAATAGCGAAGGGATCTCTCTGGTCAATAAAATATTTCAATGATTAAATATGCTTTCACATTATCTCTTGTTACCAAAGATGTCCATTTTTTTTTCAAAACAAAGAAACTGAAAATAAAACACAAGATTAAAAATAAATAAATAAAGCCTGTGGCTCCTCCTCCAAGACAACCCCCCCTCCCAACAGTGATGAATAGGAGGGACTGTATTCCTCGCCCCTGGAGACTATCTTTGCAGATAGTCTGTTTTGAAATTCTTTTCTTTAGAGGAGATTTTTTTTTTTAAATCTCTCTCTCTTTAAAAATATCAAACAAAGCTGCTGCTTGCTATTCCTGTGGCTGGCGCACCACCTGGGGCTGAGGACATGGGCGGCATCACCGGGCTGGGGAAAATGCAGATTGATGATGGAGCGTCGGGGGATGCGCTTTTCCTTTTCTGCGAACAGCACACTCCTTGAATGACAGCAAATTCTCTACAGGTTTTCCCTGCGGGAACGTGCCCCTCGCGGTTCATTCGGTTTTCTCTAGAAAATCGGCCACCGGAGAGGACGGGGCGCGGCATTACTGGAGCGGTTCCAGACCCGGGGGCTCCAGCCCAGCCTGCGCGTACCCGCGGACAGGCTCTGCGGGCTACTATCCCGGTCCCAGCAAGGCCAGGGCCAGCGTGAGCGTATTCCGAACCGCCGAGGGCAACGGAGGTCCCGCCGAGCCCACTTTTCCCGCCGCAGCGAACAGCAGCCGCGCGGGGCGGAGGCACCACGTGCAGCTCACAGGCTGCATCCAGATGTGCAGGCACCCCGCGGTAAAGAAGGCCACCAGGCGAGGCTATAGCGAGTTCCAAGACTTCCGCTCATCCCGGCAGCTCACAGTTTCGCTCTTTCTAAAGGAAGCCCTTGGCTCCGGCTGCGGGATCTTCGGTAGGTGACTGGTGCGCGAGACAGCGCTGCTCCAGCCGGAACGCCCCGGCAGGAGGTTTGTCCCCGCCCGCGCGCCGTGCCGCGCGGCACCTAGGGTGGGGAGAGGGCGCGCGGCGGAGATGGGCGAGACCATGTCAAAGAGGTTGAAATTGCATCTGGGAGGGGAGGCGGAGATGGAGGAGCGCGCGTTCACCAATCCCTTCCCGGACTACGAGGCCGCCCTCGCCGCCGCGGGGCTCACTACCGGAACCTCAGAAGAGTCGGGCTGTGTTCGCACTCAATCCACCACAGATGAGTTCGGCCTTCCTTTCCACCACGACGGCAAGGTGAGTCGGCGGCCCTGCCTCAGGAAAGGCCCGGCGGGGGTTGGGGGGCGCCAGCGGTGGTAGCGTCCACCCGTCGCGGCCGGCGGCGCGTTGACGTCACACGCGCGCGTCGCTGCTGCCAGTCCAGGGCTAGGCACAGGGCGATGAGCGTTTGTCGTCTGCCGGCGCCAGCCTGCCGAGCGAGAATGGCCTAGGGGCTGTGAGCTTTTATTGCAGTGGCCACTTCAATGGCAGTATACGCCTCCTGGGCCCTCCGGTCTTTAAAACTCTAATGGAGCGCTTTTTTTCTTGGCGCCTAAAAATGATATTAGGGTACTAGTGGCGATTGAGTATGCAGATTTATGTACGAAAGAAGGCCTGCCTCCTGGCTTCCTTCTCTAAAACTGATGAATTTAATGTCAAAAACCTATTTGCATTTCTCCCTAGCCTGATTGTGTGTGGATGTCATACTTGGTTGGTTCCCCACCCTTGGACCTTATCTCTGACGAATAGTAGCAAAAAAGCATTGTTCATAAAATCAAGTCTTGTCATTTTTTTTTTTTTTCCTGCGTGCCCAGCAATTGAAGACGGGAGTAAGAAGAGAAACTTTACTCTGTAAGGGTCCTTGCTGGGCCAGAGAATGAAATTAACGTAAACAAATTAACAGAAAGCACATAAATTTATTTCATGTTTTATTGACATAGGAGCCTCATAAAGAAATGAAGATGGAAGTGGCAAAACCAAATGCATTTATATTAGGCTAAACAACAAGAGACAATTATTGGAAGGGAACTAAAATACTGTTTATACGGAGAATAAAGGAATGTGATAATTTTAATAAATATAAAATTCTTCTGTCTTCCACACCCTGTCCCTGGTGATAAGAATGTTTCTCCTGGTATTGGGGCAGGCATCTTTTCCATGGAAGTTTTATCTCCTACTTTCAGGAGGAAAAGGGGAGGTTTTGAACACCCACCTGCTGTTTCTCAAGTGCTTTTAGCTCAAAATAATCCTTTTGCCAAAATGATATGTTTTACTGGGACATATTCTGCCACGTTTCTCTGGAATGTGAACTCGATTTGTTCATGTTTGGTAAAACCACACATTTACCAAGTTGTCTTTTTCTCTATGTATTACAAGGCTCCTTTCACTTCCCTGGCTCCCCATGCATTCTATTTTTGAAAAGGGAGAAGTTGGCCAAAACTAGGAAGGTAAATTTGAAAGAGTCTGAATATGAAATCTAATGACTTCTCTAAGCCTCTTTTGTCTTACTTGTATTAAAAGTTGGATAATCATTCCTAACTCAGGGATGTTAGTGATGAATTAAAGAATATAAATTGCCCAGCAGAATGACTGATCTGCTACCTAGTAGGCTCTGAATAAATGTTAACTGTTTCTTAGCAGTTTAAATGCTATGCTTTAGAACTCATATATCAATGTTGTTTTTCTGTTTCCTCTCTTTTTCATATGTCTGTTATATTTGTGACTTAGTGTTCAATTTTTTTACAACAAATATCTCTAGCAAACACTTTTTTAAATCATTTATACTTATAATTAGTTGCTCTTTCAATACTTCGAGGTTTAGTGAAAAATGAAGTGAACTCTTGACAGCTTTTTGATGGGGCAGGTGAGCATCATTTTCAACCTCACAATAAATAAGATAAATACTGGGACAACTTACAGTACCAAAATTACAAATTTTTATTTTTACACTTTATATTTCAATAACTGTGATTTTGATCTCTGCTTTACACGAAATCAATTTGTTTAAAAATCGACAAATAATGAATGTGTCTTGTGACCAATTGTCTATGCAATTAAAATAGTAATAAATTGTCTTGGAGACCTATGCCAGTGGTTGTGATTATGTACTTAAGAAAAGGGGAAATGGAAAATGTGTTCTTGAATGTGAAAATGAGCACTTTTTACAGTATTGGCCAAAATATGAAAAACAGTGAATCAAGATAATAGCAGGTTTTAAACAATGGGAGATTTCTATAGCAAATACTCTCAATACTTTACAGTCATTTCCTCCCTGACTTTTACTGGAATTTACTGTGGCCATGGACTTGAAGGGAATTGACTTCAGTTCCAGGAGCTGAATCCTTAGCTGATCTAAGCTAGTAGTTCTTTGACCAGTAGCATCAGCTTTATCTGGCATATTGTCAGGGTTCAATCAGGATAGAAACCACCCAAGGTTTGATTTTTCTCATTATAAATAAGGAGAGTTCTAGAGAATATAGGAATAGTGGAAATAAGGAGCAGCCTCATCCATAGGACTGAGAGAGTGTACAAAGAAAAGGTACCTGTGCTAATAACACAGGGGGTGCTATGCTGTGTATAAAATTACCCCCTAATTTAGCCACTTTGTAAATATTTAATGTCTGAGAGTCAGGAATACGGTTGCCACTTAACTAAGTGGTTGTAACTTGTTGAGGAAGCTGCAGTCATTTTAAAGCTTAAGTGAGGCTAAGAGAATCTGCTTCCAGGTTTGTTCACATAATAATTGTTGGCAGGGCTCTTTAGTTATTATTTAGAGGCTTCAGTTTCTTACCACACATAAGCCTTGCCATAGGGCTGTTTCAGGACATAGCTTCCTTCAAGGTGTACAAGAACAAGATGGAAGGTGCTGTCTATTTTATAATCTCAGAAGTGACCTATCACACAAATGAAGGGATTATACAAGCATATTAATATTAAGTGGTTTGCAGCCTTGCAGCCAAGAAATGAACTTGTTGGGGGAAGGCATGGCCATTGGCTGGCAGAGAAATGGGTGTGATACTGTACCACTGGAACTTGCTGGAAGTGTACCCTCTGGAACCATGCAATGAGTGGTGTAGTAAGTGAGAATACACAAATGATATAATGAAGGCACAAGAAAGAGATTACTTCTGCCCACTGGCACCAGGAAAGGCTTTTCAGATTAAGGTGATATTTTTGAGGTCCTTGAAGATTAAGTAGGACTTGCCAGCCTAAGGTAGAGAACTACATGAGCAAGGACTTTGGAGATAGATGCAGTACTAAAATAGTAGATTGTCAAGGAGTAAAACATGGCTGGAGAGGGGGAGCATGAATGACATGGGAGTTTGAGACAAAAGGTAGAGAGGGGCTGATTTTGATGGATCTGAAGGGTTTTAGAACTTTTTCTGCAGAAAAATGAAATCAGGAAAACTTTTACTTTGCATCCTTAATTTGGTATAATCTTGAGTTATTGGAATGCTTTATTTTAAAAATTTATTTAATTTTTCATATTTTTGTTTAAAAGTGGATGGTCTTTCTATAAAAATTTGTTTAACTTCATATTATATATAAACATAAGGAGAACAGCACTTCTCAATAGCCCAGAGAAATATAATTCCTTTTTCTTCTTTCAAAATGAAGAGGTGTATTCCTACAGTCCTAGCTATGTGGGAAGTTGAGGCAGGAAGATCATCTTGAGCCCAGGAGTTGGAGGCTGCCTGAATAACATAGACTCTGTCTCTTAAACACACATGTATATATGCTTTTATACATACATAACAAAATGAACTGTAGTGGTATATGGGTGTGGAGTAGAGGAATAAACTCTATAGCCTTTCTTCTCAAAATGAGGTTTGTGGACCAAGAGCACAAACATTTCCAGAAAACTTGTTAGGAATGCAAATCCCACCTCAGATCTAGTGAGCCACATTTTAACAAGATCACCAGGCCCAGGGTTATCCTAAATGTGAGAAGTAATATTCTTTCTTGCTCTATGACATTGTTGAATTTTTTTTTAATATGATCTTAACCACCAACCAGTTTTTAATTCCTAATATGGAAAGGTATTGACAGAAGGGTGATGGGAAGATAATGGAGAGGAGGCTAATGAAATAGTAAATTAACATTTCCCATTTTGTGAATAAACTGAAGTAGAGCAGTTAATTACTTGGATAGACTTATTTGCTACTTTTCTGTCACTTACTTGCTTTTAAGTTGGAGCAGGTTACTTAACTACACTGAAACTTGGCTTTCTTACCTCATCGACTTGTTAAAAGTTAAATTGAAAGTTTAATTGAAGTTCTTAATATAGTTATAATATGTTTGTTAAAAGCTTGTAGTAATGATAGTTGTAATACCCCATTTTTATATAATTTTTATAATGGTTAATTAAGTTAATACATTTAAAACGTTCAGAACAATGCCTGATATAAGTGGTAATTAGCTATACATAGTTACTGATGCATAGGTAAGTAGTGAGAATTTAGTTAATGGTAGCTATTAACATCATGCATTTTATATTATAAAATGTGATAATGACAATTTACTTTAAAATTTATATTTTCAGTAGAATACACAAAATATTACATAACCTTTGCTTTTATAAACTTCTTGCAATTATTAACTTTCTTGGGATTATGATATATTTGCCTTAGAGATTATACATAGGAGATCATCAATAACTTTTTCATGTCACACATCAAACTGGATTGAGATTTGTTTAGGATAGGTAATCTACAATATTTTCTACTCATAATAGAGTTTGAAATAAGAAAAACAGAATCAGACCTGATTACGTAAACCAATCCTTATGTTTCTGGAGAATGAACTATTTTTAAACATCTAAGCAAAGAGCATTTTCTTGATACAGATTCAGTTTAGGTAAGGACCTATTTATCATAAATATCACTAGCGAAGGTAGATGTTTCCATAACCATCTAATTCTTTACTGTAGAAAGATGTAGTTCTCCTGTCCACTTTCCCCTTTCATAATCAGCTTTGAGGTAAGGATTATGGGTTGTTTTATTCATTTTTGTTTAACAGAATGGAGTGTTAGAAAACCAAACCCAAAGCCTTTCAAATGTGTAAGACATCACAGAGCATCTTACTTACAAGTAAGATCCTTAAAGATGTGAGATTATGGAATGTACTTTCTTCTAACAAAAAGTTTTGTAAAACCTTTCCTAAGAAAGATCGACTGGTGTATATACATTAGCAACTTTTTATATATCCTCACATAGAAGATGTGGGTCAAAAACCTATTTTTATTATCTGCAAAACTT